AAATACTATGGCCAAATAGTTTAAAAATCATTTCTGTGGGCAATAGTCAGACCGATCTGTCGGTCGGTCGATCCAATACAAAATCAGTTTGGTCAGATGCTTCACGAATAGTGCAAGACAGATCTGCACAGATGATTCCCTTAGAAAATGAGTTAGCATACATCCAAAATACGCTGATCCAAATGGGTTATCTTAGTAGATTTGGAAAGAGACACATAAAGGCTAGGTATAATGAAGGGAAACTGACAACAGTTGAAAAGAAACAACTGCTCATGAAATTGCGATAAAACAGACTTATACTGCACCACCCTCTTTTGTTAATTTCCAGCCGACCAATTATGATTGCTCAAGCAAAAGACAAGCTACCTAGCTGTGCCAATTCTATGTGTATCTATAAATTTAGTTGCTTCTGTGAAGAGAACTATATGGGGCGAAGAACTAGACAGCTCAACAAACGCATTAATGAACATCTTCCTTCATGGTTTGGAAAAGGTCAAATAAAATCTATAGAAAGTCCTATTTCGCCTCATTTGATTGATAGCGGTCACCAAGTGCACAAAAACAGTACCTTCAAAGTTATCTATCGCATTCCACAGAGCCTTTCGAACGGAATTCGAACCCGCCTTTTACACATAGCCAAAATTATGGGAATTAATTCGAGAGAACAATCCCAATGTCTTTGTATACAAAAGAAGTTTGTTCTACCTTTGTCTCTCCCTTGACCCAAGTAAATTCTAATCGAAACCTTGTCACCCTTTCTTATTTTCCATTTCCTTCGTACTTTTAGGATATTTATTTAAACTCTGACTATCTGTCCACTTCACTTTTAGTATTACGTAACTTTTAAGATTTGACCTAATTTATTTATTGAATTGTCTACATATACACATATTACTACCTTCGTTATTCTTCTTATCGTCACCTTCATAAACCTTGTTTTCAATATCATGTTATCATTATAATCATCGCTTATTAATGACGTTCAAAACACTCAACGCTTTATTATTATTTGATCCACAAAATCACCGTCAGTATATAAATCTATGTAAATTGGAGTGAAGTCTGAAGGAGATCTAATTGAAAACAACAATATTGTTCGCCTATATGTCTTGTTCTAATATTTATAATGCGAACGTTTAAAGACTTTTAATCTATGGCTATATAATTTAAAATCAATTCTGTGGGCACTAGTCAGACAGGTCGATCGGTTGGTCCATCGGTCGGCAAGTTTAATTAAAATGATCAGCATTAAACTGTATTGTAATAGTGATCAGGGGATAATTAGATCCTGTTTTCTATTATTACTAATTAATTAATTAATTAGGTCGTGACTCATTTTTCTCTTAACCCTGAAGGCATAAGAAATAACTAAATTTTAAATCATTAAATTCTTGTATTATTCCTTTTCATGTGTGTTATGCGAGCCACTGGATTGCTGATTTGCAAAAGTGTAAGTGATTAATTCAGTATGGAAGGCGGGGGAAGACGCGTCTACGTATGATTTGTACTTGTGGATGCAGAGGTGGATACTTGAATGGACGTGTTTAAATAGATCTCTTCGATAACCTATACTAATAGGGTAATAAGAAAATTCAAGATCACTGACACAAAACACTTTTTAATTTCCAGTCACTGAAAATAATCAACACGGCATATTCTAAAAAATTTACCATTTGTTTTCAACTTATTCTGTAGGTGTGTTTTGAGAAGTTACACCTGAATAAGAAGTCCCACCAATCTTAATTTTCACGGAAAAGTATTATGAAACTGTGGGTTTTTTTCTTATATAGACAGATATTCAGCTAATTGAAACTTTTCATTTTCCCGTGTCATTAGACATCACACATTCTACACACATTCCAATGGTTCTTTAACTAATGTGTCAGCTCATGATGAAATCCTGTTACCAATCAAATCACTACAAACCAACACACATATCCTAGTATATGAGAAATCTAATCCAGACAACTGGGTATTAAATGTTATTCATTATTATGAAAGTTTTCATACTTCTCAGTGAATGAAAAAGAGCAAAACGACATCGTCATTTTTACTGACGTTTCGCTATTCAACGCTGCTACCAATCACTTTATCAAAGTAGTATTGTTAAACCAGAATTTACAAAATTAACTCAGCTTACATTACATAGCAAACTAATCATCGTTCATCAGCATGGCGTCATTTTTACGTCGCTATCAAGTTCGCCAATTGGTAAAGATAACAAAACCATGTATAGATTGTTGGATTTTTATATGCGTATAAAATTATAAAAGCAGCATGTCTTTCCATAACGAAGTTGCTTATCACATTCGTGTTGATTTTGTCATTTTATCGGGTTTAGCAAGTGGATGTTGTAACCAGGTTAAATTCTGTTTTAGTCCATCATTTCTATTCAGCTAAAACTATTTGGATTCCATTTGATATGAAGTCCTTCTCATGATATTAGACGTCCTTTGTGATATCTGAAATTTCTCAGCATTTTTTCAATATTGTCAAAAGCAATTTTGTCACCTGATTCTATGGAGTAGCGTGTAGATGACCTATGGCTGATTATTTTACAAGCTTTTCTAGTTCAAATAGATTTCTCGGTGGTCGAACAGAGGCGGCTACACCATGTTCAATTCATCTGATTACCTTGATTTCTCTCTCTCTCTCTGACGATGTTTGTCTGACGTAAATCACATTACATTGCAATCATTTTATTTTGTAGACACAATTAGACTGAGAATGATTAGGGATTCAGTCTTTCACACGAACCAAACTGCTCTGTGGTGTGTGTGTGTGTCTGATGTTTTGAGGAAAACTCTAATGTTGTGCTAATTGAGTACTCCTCTTCTAATATCGCATGAGTTATCTGATCTATGTGGAATGATAGCTGTTAAGGCCCATGTCATTGGAATACATTTTCGATCAAATTCAATATCGATGTTGATTCTGTTGATGAAGTTCTTTGAGTAGTTATTTTTCTTGAGAGTCTCAGTAATCTTTGTTATTTCTTCTTCTTTTGTTTCCTTCTCATTCATTAACATCAAAAAGTGTGGTCATCTAAGAAGACTTGAAATAACAGAGCTTTGCGCTGATGGGGTGTGATGATCCTAGGTCTAATTATTTGTTGGAGTGGGTTTCCATCACGAATAGAGATATATATTGAATTGTCTGTTTACTCTCCTCTTAACTAGGCAGTCTAGGTATTGTAGAGTCACCGAAGTCTGATTTTGCCTGCTTTCGAATAGAAATGGGTGTTGAGGGGGTAGATTGTTCAGTTCCTCCAATAGCGAATTGTGTAGATCTGGTTTTAGCAAACATTATGAAAGTGTCTCGTATTTTAGATGTGAGTAGGTTTGAAAAGATGTTATACTAAAAATGTATTCATGAGAAGATCAGCGACTATTGGGGAGACTGATGAACCGATAGTAATAATTGTATATGCTTATGAAATCCAACAATCTACACTTTTTTTCATTATCGTTATCTATTGGCCAACTTGACAACAACGTAAAAATTACGCCGTGCTGATGAACGATGATCGGTTTGCTATGTACTGTAAGCTTATGTTTTGTAAATTCTGGTTTAATAATACTACTTTGATAAAGCTGTTGGTACCAGCACTGAATAGTGAAACGTGAGTAAAAACAACGATATTGTTTTGTTTTTGATTCATTGGGAAATACAAGGACTTTTACAATAATGAATATCATATGTACACTGTTTAGCGTATTACATGGATCAGTTTACACTTCACATAAACTATTCTTTCACTCTTTCACTAAGATGCCTAGTAGTGGTTATTTTCTTGTGTTTCTCAATGTGTACGTGTGAACATTAGGTGAGCAATTATTTCAGTAATGTACCATTCATCACTAGTGGTTTAAGTATCGGTGTTATGCAACCTCCCTTGATTATAATGACAATAATCACTCAGTGTTCAGCAGTGATGAGACGACTGAAGAAAATCCAACGGTATTAAAATACCAACTGCACCCTGTTCATCAAAGAAACAACAGTAAGGAAAAAGTAACGAAACAATCCGTAGTAGTAGTATTTATTTCAGTTGGATATGTGATGAACTGGCTATCCACTGAGGAGTACAATGAAATACTTATCAGGGTAATAGTAGTTTCTTTTATAAGGATAATAAAGCTCTGTTTCGGACAATATGCGAACATAATGCACAAACATTTTCGTCCTAGTTCGGGACTCTCCAACAGTTTGCATCCACACCGCCAAATTCAACCACAACCAAGGTTAGCCAGTTCATAGACAATTCAGCCACTGGCACCCGATTCAGTGGCCAATCCGTGGATTCTATCTTCTGCCATTTCCAACATATCGCCACCGCTAGTCAATATCTTCAATGAGTAACTTTCCTCACATTGCATCGGGTCCCAGTGGCTCAGTGGTCTAGCTCACCTTCTTAACAGAAGGTCGCGGATTCAAACACCGGTGGATGCGTTCTGTTGAAGGGTCCTGAACTACGCTGACTAAACAGATATCAAGTACTCCCAGGTTTTCGAATGGTTCTCTAACCAATGTCAGCTCATTATGAAATCTTCCAACCAATCAAACAAACAAAATCCATACAAACCAATACTTGACAAACATTTTCAGCGTATTTAGTTCCAAAATACGTTTTTCTTCATACATGATTTACACATAAAGTAGTCATCTCAAGTATATCTTCATTTCGTTGAAGAATTGCACAGCGTTTACTTGGAAGCAATTTAATTCAGCGCGCAAGTTTATGTATGGGTCATCTGATATAACTGGACGATTAAAACAAGGATAAATCCAGATGAAATTAAGCATTTTGGTAGAAAGCACTTCCAGTAGCCCAGTGATTTAAGCAGGCCACCAGGAGTTACGTACTGTTTAAAACTTTCTCTTATGATTTCAAAACTATATGCGCAAAATATACATCCACCTACACCCACACAGTGGATTCAACTATCTAACATTACTCACTGAATCAATAAAAGAAAAGGAAGAAGAAAAGAACTTACATTTCCATGAGATACTTCATCTTCATCTCTTACATAGAAACGTAGTACAGGTTTTGTGAATACTTGTCCTTCAGGTATTGTAATATTCTCTTGTACTACAAGTGTTGGCACATTATCATTAATATCTCTGATTTGTACAAAGATTGTTGTCGTGCTCGAGTGTTGTGGACTGCCTAAGTCTTTGGCGACAATCGGTAGGACGAATTGTCTCTCTGAATAGATTTCATAATCTAACGGTTCCCTGATTGTAATTGCTGCACTTCTTGAATCAATATTAAATTTCGATGTAACCAGATTACTGGCCAATGGACTAAAGGAGTAGACGATGCGTCCATTATCCCCAGAATCAGCATCACTTGCATTGACAACAATAAATGGTTTATAATTTAAAGTTGTATTCTCCGGCAGAGTAATTAGACGTTCTGCTTCGGTGTATTGTGAAAATATGGGTGAATTGTCATTGACATCCAATAGACGGACTATTATGGATAAAGATCCAGTTAACGGAGGATCACCACCGTCTATTGCATAGAATGTGGCATAAATTTCCCTGTCATCTACATTCTCATAATCTAATGGTCTCAGAAGTGTCAGTTTTGGATTTAAATGACGTGAACTAACAGAATTACCGTTAGATTTCTGTGTAAAATCAGAGTATGCCATACTGATATTCAATCGTGGTGTTTGAACTGGATCACCTTTACTCGTTTGCTCTACCAGCCTGTACATTACAATACCATTCACGTCTGAATCAGCATCTGAAGCCACTGGAAGACCTTCAAATCCATTTGTATCACCTTCTCTGATGTAAATAATGAATGGTCTGTTGGTTAGTTGATTTGCTGAATTCCCTGCATCCTGGTTAATCACATTAGTTGACATGAAACTCGGCGGATTATCATTCGCGTCATTAATTCTGATGAACAGTCGTATCATGCGTTGTTCATGAGACTCAGTCAATTTACCGGCGCTGTGTTCTAACGCCTCTTCATCAGTTTCACCACCTTTTGTTAATTCCTTTGTCTTAGAACGATCAAACTTCTCATGTTTTCCCCATTGCCTAGTAAGGATTACATTCGCCTCAGTCTGACATATTGGCAAAGAACAACAATCCAGTGGACCGCATACTTCATTTGTATTATCGCGATCAATATGACGTAGAGTAGTCAAATCCCCGTTAGGAGAAATTCGAAAGAAGTCAGTTAAATATTGAAACTTTGTCGAGGAGATTAAAAGAAATGTATACTTCGATGCATAGTCTGGGGATAAATTCTCTGCCACATTGCCAATCAATGAACCAGCTGGTGTTTCATCGGCAAGATTATAAATAATTGTTGGCATTTGATGACTACTTGTAAAATGCAATAGTAGTAGTGGTAGTATTAGTAGTGGTGAAACAATGAAATCTGTAGAAATCGTCATCAACCAATCAAATCGCATAATTTATCTTCTTTGAAATACTTTATAGGCGATTAATGGTGAATACACTTGGAGGTCTAGTGAATGAATTGATGCGATTGTCTGAAAATAAAAGCAGAAGAACAGGATGGGGAATTTTAGAATGAGTTTCATTCAACAATGCAATTCCATTATTAGATAAGTTTATTTTGAAATATCACACAGTGAGGATGGTGCCGTATTAACCACTGCATGACAAGGTTCCCAGCATAGCATATTATTGCCAGTCATAATCACCAATCAATTTTAGTCACACGGTTTCAAAATTTGCCTTACGCATACATTTTCTCACTATTCTGTCGTTCCAACTTCACTTTGTTGCTTGTTGCCACTTCCCATATCTCTGGTATAGACGGCGTTGCATCATTCCGATTGCACGTTTGTGGTGTTGCATCGATAATCAAGCCTTCAGTGATTAACCTCTCTGTCTCTCTCTCCACCTAACTATGTTTTACTTTTTAATACCCTCACTCTGTCCCACCCCCCCTACAATATGTGTGATTACATGCAAGTGAATGCAGTGCAATTGCCCGGCTTTCGTCTAGGTTATTTAGCTTAACAGAGCCAGTCATCATTCTAGGTCCAGCTAAATGTTTATGTTCTATTAATCTAGTTGACCCTGATCTACTAGTTTGACTGGTCTATGTATTTGACCTCACTAACAGTCATTAATTGTATGGTATTCAGTAAATTATATTATTGTTCCTAATTGGATCTATTGGGTTCTAAAGGCGGAAACCTTGTCATCCAATTGTAAATACTGCATCATCACCACTGTGTGATATTTGAAATAAACTTATGTAATACGGAATTACACATTCTACCACCACAGTGCCCAAGGTCCACACATTCATTCAATAATGACCTACGGGCAACGAATTAGTCGTTTCTAGCTGGGCCTGTATAATCTTTATGTGAAAATGAAATACCTGAACATCTTGAACTCAGCATAGAAATTAGATAATGCACCAACTATCTGACCACAGCACGAAGAATGCTAATGTGTAGGCGTGTTTAAGTCCTGGATCTCGATTATTCATTTCTGATGTTGGAAATGCTTTCTACTTATGAAAATAAACAACAACAGAAAACGATTATCATTATTATTATTCCCTTGGGTTTCAACAACACACATCCACTTTGTTCTATCTTCTCCTGTCCTCTTCACCTGGATCCATGATTTCAAGTAATCTCTCATCTTGTCCTCCTCTCCCAACACGATGTCGTCCATGTCACCCTTGCACCGAAGACCCACCGGTAGCTTTGCATTTGGATTCCATTCGAGGGCCTGACGCGGGGTTCCATTCTACGGTCTCCACAGTAGCGTATTCCTGATCCATCTTCACTTTCTACTACAGATTTTTTGGGCGATTGGCTCTTGGTTGATCTGTTCCCAATTAGAGTGTCCTGTTGCTAATTCATTCTGGCCAGTCAACTGGCCTGCCGGCCATCTGATCTTCAGTATGGAGCCAGCCAGCGAAGTGGGCAGGTATTGATAAAAGTCTACTGTAACATATTGGAAATGCTTTCGTGGCACACAGTGCAAGTGACTGACTTCATATTTGTGTTGAAGAGAATCCGAATTTTGTTGTGTATTCTAAGGTGGAGTGCAGAAGATTTTCAAACTGGTTTCAAGTTGATGAAGGTGTATCTTGCCTTTCCGATCCCCACTGGCTTTGACATCTTCATAAGATCCGCCAGCTGTGGTGAAACGAGGCTTTCAAGGCAGTTAAGTGAAGGAGGTAACCTCTATTAAATCTCTCCCGTTGATGGTGATTTCTTCTGTCTGTTGTTGTTGTTTGATTGGTTGGTTTTCTTCATCACTTCCGTCTTCTTTATGTTCACTTGGAGTTCTGGGTTCGCTGCCTGTTCTTTCAGAAAGTTTGTTGGTTTTCGCCTGCCTACAAGTCTTCCAGTTTGTGTGACATTAAACATAAATCATCCACGCACGAAATCCACATCTTCTAGAATCTATTTATCGATCGGTCTAGCGTATTCCTGCCTCCTCACATCCAACGTACAATGTGCCGCGTAGTCCAGTCCACCACAATTAGGAATGTCATCGTGAGTGATAGTAGACAGCCTTGTCTTACTCCTATATTCATTCCGAACGCCTAGCTGAATTTTTCGTTGTGGGTTACCTGACACGTGACACTGTCATACAGTCAGCTGTTGAATGAGGTTGATAAAGACATGGGCACTGCACGCCGTAGTATTGAAGTAGTTTCCAAATTACTTCTCGGTTAAGGCTGTTTGTCGAAAGTCTTTTCGAAATCGATGAAGTTGAGTGATAGAGTGAGTTTAAATTAGTACCACCCAAAGCCTTGAAACAACAACAACAAGAATAGCTTTATTCTGAACAATATTTATGTAATGTACAGAATTTTCAGTGCAGTGTATTACATAGTACTTTCGTTTCGTCTAGGATCATCAAATAAAAGATTAATTGATAATAGATCGTGTGACACAGGGCTCTCTGACTTGAAGTGCAAATCAATCCTCATTATGATGATATCTCTTCATTTTCTACTTCTTCGAGAAATACACGACATTTGGTTGAATGCCAATGGTAAAATGTTCAAGAGTACATTTTGTCAACCAAGGGTATAACTAAGGAACAGTTATCACATGTACTGGGATACACCACCAGCAACCATTACTCTTTTACTCATTTCTACCAGAAATTTGTGAATCAGAAGTTTGTAAACATTTAAAATACTCGCGAAAATTTCATCCTGAGCTGACATCGGTTAGAGAACTGTTGGAAAACCAACAGGGAGTACTGCCAGTCAGCCGTTTCGTCAGCCTAGTTTGGGACTCTTCATCAGTACGCCCCTATTCAGGTAGTTACCTTGGGTTCAAGTGGGAAGCCGTGACCAGTGGGGTACAGAAGGTCAAAGGTGAGGACAGTTCGTCATCGAAGACATTTCGAAGCGATTACGCTATATCATGAATTGGAAGAAGTTTGAATTCATGGACTAGCCATTGGATCGGGTTCTAGTGGCTTAATGGCATACGAGTTCGCTAGCCTTGTAACAAGAGGATCCTGGATTCGAACGCCTGTGGCGGATGCGTTCTGATGAAGAGTTCGAAACTAGGCTGACGAAATAGCCATCTGAAAGTACTACCTGTTGGTTTTCCAATGGTTGTCTAATTGATGTCAGCTCATGATGAAATCCTCCAACCAATCAAAGAAAATCCCTACAAAACCAATACTTGATACTCGTGAGAGTAAATAATACTATTTGACGTCATATTCTACTAGACTTAAACAAGCTGAATAACAGAAGTTGTATGGAATATATCGACGGGGTTTTTGATAGTTCATGTTTTAAACAGACCACCGGAGTAAATCCACATGATCTTAGTTAGCTCAGAGAGCCGAGAAATCGATATGCTCTCGCTGCATTCATAATTTATAACTGTATTTCAATGACAGACGCCTAGGAAAGGAAAATCCACCATGGGGTCGAAAATATCTTGAATGACTTCCATTTAAAAAGCAAAGTTTTCTGTTGAACGTGTATAAGAGTTTAACACAGTTCGACATATATTTAGTCAAGTACGATTCCGAGTTGAATTCAATTAGAGAGTCAGGAAGTACTGAACATATCTGTTTCATCGTGATCTGGGACTCTGTAACATGATATCTGTTCATACTGTGAAATGTATTCCAGTTAACCTGCTATTCACCTGATGCTTTGATCATTTTATTATTACTACCTGTAAGTAGTAAATATATTTTACACTAAATATTTGTAATCTACTAAAGACGCCATTTTGTTTATTATTTATAAACACATCGGAACTTTAGTACTTGAAGCATGTTTTCATTTAGGCACTTGAAGACTACTCTACTAAACTGTATTCATACATGCTATCCCAAATACATAAAACAAAAGACGATTGCTAAACAATTCTTGCTTTACAGGGATTTGATTGATTGGTTACAGGATTTCATCATGAAGTGATATCGATTAGAGAACCATTGAAAAACCAGCAGCGAGTACTTTCAGACAGCTGTTTTTTCAGTCGACTTTCGGGCTGTTCAGCAGTACGTACCCACCGCTAGATTTCGAAGCCAGGACCTTCTGGTTTCAAGGCTGGCGAGCTCGTAGAACTTCAAGCCACTTGAACCCGATCCAATGGCTAGTCCATGAATTCCAACTTCCGCCAATTCATGATATGGTGCAATCACTAATGAATGTCATCTCTGGCGAGTATTTGTCCTCACAGCCAACCTGAATTCATGGACGAATGGATCGGGTTCAAGTGGTTTAACAGTCTACGAGCCAGCTCGTCTTGTATCCAGGAGATCCTGGATTCGAATCACAGTGGGTGTGTACTGCTTGACAGTCCCAAACTAATCTGAGGGAACAGTTGTCCAGTACTCTGAGGTTTTCCAATCGACCTATAACTGATGTCAGTTCACGATGAAGTTCTGAAAAAAAGATTGATTAGGTAAACTAATCAACCAAATGGAAATATAATGCTTGAATAAATGGGCTACCTGAATTACCACCAAGCACAAAGTATCACATTTTTCATAGTTCTTAGTGTCTTAACAATTTAATTATGTCCTCGAGGCACAAAATGTACTCATGGACATTTCCAATTAGCTTTCAAGCTACTAGTGTTCACTTCGCTGAGACAAACGAAAAGTATTCATTAGGGATTAATTAGTTTATGCTTCAGATCTAACAATGTTGCGTCACGCGATTTACTATAAACTTCCATTTTACTTGAAGATCCAGGATGAGGTGAAATGTGACGTAATAAATTACACTGAGAATTCTATCTACTGTGTAAATATTTTGTTCAGAGCAAAGCTGTTTATTAAAATGATTATTGCTAAATAACTAATGCATGTACTTTGATTAGAC